TTTGTTGTAGTGTTTTTGTCTGTAGTACCTTGTGGTGTGTGTTGTAGTGTTTTGTCTGTAGTGCCCTGTGGTGTGTGTTGTAGGGTTTTCCTTGTGGTGTGTGTTGTAGGGCTTTTGTCTGTAGTGCCGTGTGGTGTGTGTTGTAGTGTTTTTGTATGTAGTGCCCTGTGGTGTGTTGTAGGGCTTTTGTCTGTAGTTCCCTGTGGTATGTTGTAGGACTTTTGTTTGTAGTGCCCTGTGGTTTGTTGTAGGAATTTTGTCTGTGGTGCCCTGTGGTGTGTTGTAGGGTTTTGTCTGTAGTGCCCTGTGGTGTTGTAGGGCTTTCGTCTGTAGTGCCCTGTGGTGTGTTGTAGGGCTTTTGTCTGTAGTGCCCTGTGGTTGTTGTAGTGTTTTTGTCTGTAGTACCTTGTGGTATGTGTTGTTGGGTTTTGTCTGTAGTGCCTTGTGGTGTGTGTTGTAGGGTTTTGTCTGTAGTGCTCTGTGGTGTGTTGTAGTGTTTTTGTCTGTAGTGCCTTTTGGTTTGTGTTGTAGGGTTTTGTCTGTAGTGCCCTGTGGTGTCGTAGGGCTTTTGTCTGTAGTACCTTGTGGTGTGTGTTGTAGTGTTTTTGTCTGTAGTGCCTTGTGGTGTGTGTTCTAGGGCTTTTGTCTGTAGTGCCCCGTGGTTTGTGTTCTAGAGCTTTTGTCTGTAGTGCCCTTTGGTGTGTGTTCTCAGATTTTTGTCTGTAGTGTCCTGTGGCGTGTGTCTCGTTCACGTCGATAGTTGTTTAACCCACTCCTCTGCCATTCCCTCCCCCCCACAGATAGTTGGGGGTGGCGCAGCCTGTTCTTCTGGCCGTCTGTGAGTGTGGTGCTGGGTGCGGTGTTCATCAAGAAGTACTGCGCCGACCCGTTGCACTACAACGTGCATGCGTTACACCTGCCCACTGTGGCTAACAGCACATCCTCCGCAGTGATGCGTCGGTTGACTACCCTGCAGGTGTTCCAGGTGGCGGGTGTCGTGCAGTTGTCCATGGCGCTGTTCTTTGCTAAGATGGCACGGTATGGCCTGATGCTGTGGCTGCCCTACTACTCGGTGACTGTGCTGAAGTTCACCCCAGCCCTGGGCGCCAACCTGTCGCTGGCCTTTGAGTTGGGGGGGGCCTTTGGGTCGCCCTTTGCCGTGGTGGTGTGTGATCGCTATCTCAAGAGTCGCCTGGTGACTGGCGTGGTGCTGTACCAGGTACTGGCGGCTGTGTCGCTTGTGGGGTTTCTGTTTGCCGGCAGTGACGAGGTGCCGTTGTTGTTTGTGCTGACTACGGCGTCCGGCGTAGCCCTCAACAGCACTGATCTGCTGATCAGTGGGCCTATAGCTGCACACATCGGCCGAGCCAACGGCGGCATAGAGGCGTCTGTCGGGGGGGTGGTGAATGGCATGGGCAGTTGTGGGGCCATCTTCCAGGGGCTGTTGATTGGCTGGGTGTCTGTGAGCTTTGGATGGGATGCCGTGCTTAAGGGTGCGGCGGGGGTGTCGGCCTTAGCAGGATTAATTGCGGTATCGGCCGCGCGTATAGAACAGTTGCACTCTCTCTGATAGAGCGCACTTACACCTCGTTGTAGGTTATAGTTCAGGAAGGTACGGGTTTTCTGGTTGGCTGATTGTGCTGTAGCCATTAGGAAGACTTGCGAACAAACAATATATGCAGATGCGGATATAGCTCAGTTGGGCAAATGGTGCGTAGTTCAGGTACAGGAAAAACAGGGCCTTATGGCATATGTGAGAAACTGGCACCTATACACCATCACAGTGTGGCACCACAACAGGAAACACATTGCGGTAATTCTGACGATGCATCACCCGATAATAGTCAACTGGAGCATACCCCCAATGGCTGTGTGATATCGCTACCCACTGCAGTGCACGCGTGCATGTGAAGGATATGCCAGCACGTAGAAGGTCAATAGCTGAACGTAGAAATTTAATAGCAACCAGTGAACCAAGAACTTAATAGCAACCAGTGAGCTATATCTGATACTGGGCTGGGTCGTTGGCCTCTCAGGTAGGCGATAAGTGATAGACAAAGGACAAATGTCCCAATGGCACAACTATCGCATTGCCCATCAGCACACATCGATGTTTACCAAAAACCCTAAACCCTAAAATGGATCTCGCTGGGAACTCGTGGAGACGCAGAGTTTGTACTGAAGTGGATCAGAGGCGCCCAGTTGGATTGTATCGCAAACTGTGTGCACTAACGTGTAGGTATCGCAGATAGAAGTACTGCCGCGGTTGGTTTAACGCAAGTGGTCTGTATGGGCGAGAGGTGTCCCCACTGACGCACAGCAATAGCCAACGCAAGCCACACAACAGACACTCAAGGCAAAGTACACAACAGACTCAACCCAAGGGCAAGCCACACAACAGACTCAACCCAAGGGCAAGCCACACAACAGACTCAACCCAAGGGCAAGCCACACAACAGACTCAACCCAAGGGCAAGCCACACAACAGACTCAACCCAAGGGCAAGCCACACAACAGACTCAACCCAAGGGCAAGCCACACAACAGACTCAATTCAAGGGCAAAGTACACAACAGACTCAACCCAAGGGCTTTGTGGCTGATATTAGTTCAGATAGCAGGCACGCATATGAGCCAGAGGACGTCCACTACACCACTACAGTCACTTCTGATCAGCATGGCAATGGGCAATGGTTAGATAGTCACCAGTGGGCAGAGCTCTCGTAGCTGTGCTTGTTTCTAGATGCTATGCATAGTTGGTGTCATTTGGGTTGGAATGCGCCAACCAACCGCTGCCACATAGAGCCAGTCACACACTCGACACGCTGTCGTATACTGCACCAGTCGGTGGATACGCGGGTGGTCGTAGGGACTAATTCATCCGTATCGTATGATATTATAGAATAAAGTAGAGTACCCATGGGTATGTATATACACGGCAAGACAAATTGATCACAGACAACTTGTTTCGGAATAAATGAGATTTATGTTTAAGACACGAAATAGAACACAGGCACTTTTCTAAAATAGAGTTTGTATAAGACGGGAAGGATGAATGAATCCCACACCACCTGAGACATCGGAAGGATGAATGAATCCCACACCACCTGAGACATCGGAAGATAAATGGAAACGGAGTGTGCACTCCACTTCAGAATATTTGTGTGGCGTGTGTTAGCCATTGACTACGAGAATCCACCAGACCATACCCCCTCACCTACACGACGGAAGCAGATGTACGGTGCCTTGTGACAGTATGAAGCATGCCAGAGTATAAGAAACAAAGCCGGTCGATACATATTGATACTTTAAATTCCAATTCAAAATTAATACATCCGTCCAATGCGAACCCACCAATTCTTATGCAAGGCAGTGTTACCTACACACGTCTGGGCGGTTGCTTGAACTCGCAAGAGCTCAGTGTATCCCATGTGTGGCTGTTGAACTTCCCTATTATTATTCTTTGAAGCTATCGTCTGGCTAGCTATGTGCTTTACAGTTGCTTTATTATCATTAGCCGTTTGACATGCCTCGCCAGTGGTCGGCATGTCGCGACGGTATTCTTCTGTTATTCGGAACCGTTGGATATCATAATATGTTATGTTGGGTATGTAAAGTATCAGCTACGCCGAGGTTCATCAAGCACTGGTTATATCCACCTCATGTACAGAACTAGACACACCCTACCTATTCCAACACTAGCTACCATAGCTATGACAACACTAGCTACCATAGCTATGACAACACTAGCTACCATAGCTACGACAACACTAGCTACCATAGCTATGACAACACTAGCTACCATAGCTATGACAACACTAGCTACCATAGCTATTCCAACACTAGACACATCCTACCTATTCCAACACTAGCTACCATAGCTATTCCAACACTAGCTACCAGAGCTATTCCAACACTAGCTACCATAGCTATGGCAACACTAGCTACCATAGCTATTCCAACACTAGCTACCATAGCTATTCCAACACTAGACACACCCTACCTATTCCAACATTAGCTACCATAGCTATGGCAACACTAACTACCATAGCTATGACAACACTAGTTACCCATCCCTAAGCCAAGTACTATCTACCCTTCCCATGCTGAATACTACTTAAAATATAAATAGACCTGCGCCAAGCTAACAACACAGTACTTGAGCCAGGTGTTAGTTGCGCCATACATCATGCACTATCGGTGGCAGTGATTAGTCTCCGTGGCAGTGATTAGTCTCCGTGGCAGTGATTGGTCTGATAGACAGCCAACGGAACATCATCTCATCAGCCAATGGCCGCACCAGCAAACGCTATGGCTTCTGAATTGGCTCTAGCTTCACCCCCTTGCACAAAAGGACACTAAACCCTAAAACCCTAAACCCATTCAACGGTACAACCCCTAACACTAAGAGCCCTCAACACCGCTCGCTGACAAATGCACCGAAACCCAAAAACCCTAAATCGGATCACTGCCGGGATGCATGGTGGGTTCTGTCGCACCGCAGAAACAGCCTACGAAAACCACCCAGCGACACCAACAGTATTTCACGTGCGCATGATCACACCACCAGGGTTGGGTTTTAGGGTTTAGGGTTTTAGGGGGTAGGGTGACTACTTGGGGGCCAGTGCCTTGTCTCCCAGGGTCATGTCATCGGCTGTGATGTGTTGCTTCTCGCCGTAGGTGCTGGTGAGGGCCTCGGCGTACTCAATGCAGAAGTGGTCGTTGAACGAGCGCGTGTCTAGCTCCAGCCGCTGCAGCGCAGGAAATCGGCCGTCTGTGAGAATGGCTGCGTAGCCGTTGATGGCTTTCTGCTTAGCCGTGCCATCAGAGTGAAGGTCAGCCAACTCAACCTCCTGCAGAGTGAGACATGACACGTACGCGAAGGCAAGTGAGAAGGAGAATACACACACACACACACACACACACACACACACACACACATATATATATATACTCGAGAGAGACCAACAAAGCTAATGAGCGGATGAGATAACACACGACACACACACACGAAAGACCAACAAAGCTAATGAGCAGATGAGATAACACACGACACACCACATACAAGCGCAGGAGAACACAGATAAGCGAAAGACATTCAGGTGACGACAGGGCATCTGCTGTGCACTGCACTTGTGGCTACGACAAATTGCGGATACAGTTTATGAGAGAACGCTAAAACCCTAGAAACACCAACAATTCATAACACACCAACCATACACAATACTATACACTATACGTAACATACCAACAACACACAATACTATACACTACACATAGCACACAAATAATACACAATACTATACACTACACGTAACACACCAACCAGACGCAACGCCACCCATGCGCAACGCCCCCCACAGCCCACACACCACAGCCTACACACCACAGCCCACACACCACAGCCTACACACCACAGCCCACACACCACAGCCCACACATCACAGCCCACACACCACAGTTGGTTCTTCGGCCTTGTCATCGCCCGTGTCGCTTTTAACGTTTTGAATGAACTCCTCGTGGTCGCGTTCGTAGAAGTACACCACTCGTCCTGGCACTAGCATGTCATGGTCACCCAGCGTCAACTCAGTCTGTGTCACGGCGTCTCTGATTTCCAGCATGGCCTCTCTGTCCCCTTCAGACACACTGTGCGAGTGCAAATGCAGGTGTATGTGTGGGGTGTGTGAGTGCAAATGCAGGTGTATGTGTGGGGTGTGGTGTGAGGTGTGGGTATACGTGTGTGACATGGATGCTTTCTATTACCTGTGGTACTCTTGGTGTGTGCTGTTGTGTTATATGGTGTTAATGTAATTACATGTAATGTCATTAGTCTGATGAATTTCTTTCATTGCGTGTGATGGTAACTGCAGATAGACATACGCGGTCGAGCTCAGGCGATTGGGAATGTGTAAGTAGAGGTTTAGGTTTAGGGTTTTAGGGTTAAGCTAAGATCGATCATAATGCGTGCAGATACACTGGGTGGAGGCATTGAGTGCGGGTTCTTAAACCCTAAAATTATAAACCCTAAACCCCTATAAAAACGAACTTTGTAAAATCTACATAAGCATTGAACGAGACAACAACACAGACAATGCCTACGATAAATGTAGCTTCTCATCATTACGACAGCACACACTCAATCTGCCCATGTGAAGACCATTAGGTGATAGAGACAGAGACAGCACACTCAATCTGCCCATGTGAAGGTCATGAGATTATCACCAGACAGGTATGAGTTGTGGTGGGATCCTACTCACTGCTTCTTGCCAGCTGTGTGTGGGTGTGCATGTGGAGATGCTTTAGGCTGTGGGTGTGCATG